AGATCAGTGTGAGCTCTGTGGGATTTAATGATATTGATTGCTGCTATAATTTTTTTTTTACCAGAGCAGATTTAAGTGCTGATGTTTATTATGTATTCAATGGCGCACCCTTTAAAAGAATTTAAAAAAATAAAAACAAGGGTGTACTTGGCAACTTGTAAAATGGTTAGTTTGTATTCATGTCTCAGCATGCTACTAAGTATTCATATTACGGTGTCAACAAAATATCTTTGGTAGAATATCTTTGGTAGACGTCTTAAATAAACAACTATATTAACCCTTTAAGGACACAACTTCTGGAATAAAAGGGAATCATGACGGCATGTGTCCTTAAGGGGTTAAAGATAAGATAAAGGGGTTAAAGATAAAGACTGGTTTTACAATAACAGTTCAACTGAACGTCACCATAACAAACATATTAAAGGAACACGACATGGTAGTTTTGTAAATAAATGTTTTATTGAGCATTGTTGGTAAATTATAGCAGTACCTCTTGCTTTACAGTCAGCTTTACAGTCAGCAGTCAACTGGATATCATTTGTAATAAACAGTGTTCAATCAACTATATCGTTTTATTATGTTTTACATTTTGCCTCTTTTTTTTCCAAACATATGCATACAGTATTAAAGTAACAATCTCACTGAACTGTCAATTCATACCATTTAAATCAAAAACTTAAACTTAGATTATGTTCCATAGGTTTACACCATGGTAGTTTATCCATTCTTTTTCTTACTGCATTGTATAGAAAATGTTTTAAAAATGTGCAAAAATAGTGACTCTAACTTGGATTTCTATAGCACCTCTATAGCACCCAATAATAATTGTAGGAACCATTGGCCATCAGTTGAACTACACCAAGAAAGCAATGTCTTGGCATCATGCATACTATTATTTTTTAAAACATAAACAAAACCTAAAGAATATGAAAAAATTATAAAATTAACTTGTGTAGGAGCCAAAGTATAAATATATAAAACAGTAAGCAAAAACTTTATATTCACGCCTGCAAGACTTCTCACAGGCGGCTCCTTTCCTTTGGAACAGCCTGCCTACTCCTGTCAGACTCTCCCCTAGTCTTCAATCCTTTAAGAAGTCTCTCAAAACCCATCTTGTCAGGACTGCTTACGGCCTCCAAGAGTAACTTCTATCTCTTAATCTTTCCTCTTGCTCTCTCCTAAAGGGCCACACTTCACTCTCACCTCCAGCTCTGCTACTTTCCCACCATGTCTATTTGCTGGCTCCCTCAATACCCTTCCTATTGTGTTTTTATACCCCTCCTCTAGAAAAAGGATGTGCTGAACCTTTAAAATACTTTACAGTATACTTACTTATTTAAAGTGCAACACAGTACAATGAAAGGGCAATTTAAAGTGCACTATATTGTGCCATAAACAGTGCAATGCCTATAATTATCTCCAAATTTAAGCTCATTTGAGCAGGGTCCTCAACTACCTATTGTTCCTGTTACATTTTGTTATTGTCTCATTTGGTAAATTCCCCTTTTATTGTAAAGCACTGCGGAATAAGATGGCGCTATATAAATACCAATAATAATAATAATAATAATAATAATACTTGTGTGTATATTGATATATTGATGCATATTGATAGCAGCAGGCAGACACTTTTCCGATTGTAGACAGCAGATGTTTATAAACTGAATACAGCAAGCAGAAGCAGAAGAAAGTAGCTAAGGCAGAGTGCGGTTTCAAAGAGTTTGGAGAGTCAGAAAAGTCGAGTGTTCAGGTAAAGACGTTCGGTACACATTTTAATTACAAGAAGGGAGCTCAGACTGCAACTTCAAATCTAAGTGAAGCAAAATAACTGAGCGAAACAAAGCTGATGCTGCTTCCCTTTAAAAGCTGCATATAATGATTGTAACGGCACCCCAGGGCATAAAAAGGGTTAAACCGCCGTTTATAGATCTTCCCTTCCAGAGACACAGGCGCAGCTACTGCAGAACACCGATCTGCCGAACAGGAAAATCATATGAATGATGTAAACAGCCGAATAGGAAAAACCATACGAAAGGTTTACACTCCTAGCAGTTGAACTGGAAGAGCATACAATAAATCCCCCCAAGAACGAAACAAAGCTCCATGTTGAGGGTCAAGCAGGAACAGACAGAGCTGTGGGTTTATTGTTCAGACACGACATGTATGGAGATCATATGTGTAAATGAAAAGAAGACCTTTGGGCCATATACTTAAACTTCCTCAAAATCTGTTTAGAGTTTAGTTCTTATCTATACCTATAAATATGTTTCCTACCATGAGGATCTATTAAAACTGTGTTTATTTTGCCTACTTGTTTCTAAGATACAGATTGCCTTTTCTACTTCCCTTGCTATCTCCCTATCTTTTATTTCCTCCCATCATTTTGTACTAGATAGAGCTTGCTGATAATATAAACACATTTTCATTTGGCTTTTTTATCCTGTGATTTGACCTTGTATATCACACACACACACATATATATATATATATATATATATATATATATATATATATATAAAACCATATCTCTAAACCCAAAGAATGGAGTCTTGTGGTATCATCAATGAATATCATCCTTACCGCTGTGAGATGTAAGTTGGGAATAGAAGACATATCACTGCTGAGTAATTGGCAAAACTGAGGTTCCTTGATGCTTTGCTTTCTATGCCACTATGTTTTGTTATCTTAAAGGTTAATGCAGTTTGATACTAATTTGCATAATTGCTACATAGAATCCTCTGATTTCAATAATTGAATGGGTGGATCCCCAAATTACACAGAAATATATCTTCATTAATTCAAGTGGAAAGCAAAACAGTTTGCTTAATCACTGCAACATGGACATGCCTTGTCTGAAAGCTATGTCTCTAGTCATACTGATCCTACAACTGGCCCTATTCATCTTAGTGCTGCCAATTATTCTCCTGAACTTCATAGGAATATGGGATAGGATCGTGAAGAAAATATTTCCTTTTTTTATGGTCCATTTCACAGAAACATATAACAAATCTATGGACAGTATTAAAAGGGATCTCTTCAGCAACCTTTCTGACTTTGAAAATGCTTTTAAGGAGATCAATCTGCTAGAAATCGGCTGCGGCACAGGGGCCAACTTCAAATTCTACCCAAATGGCTGCAAAATAACCTGCCTCGACCTGAATCCAAATTTCCAATCATTTTTGAGTAAAAGCCAAGCAGAAAGTGACCATCTGAAGTTTGAAGATTTTGTGGTGGCTTCTGCAGACAACATGACCCCAGTGCCTGATGCCTCTATGGATGTGGTGGTCTGCACCCTGTTAGTGTGTTCAGTACCAAACACACCAAATATCCTGGATGAGGTGTGGAGGGTACTCAAGCCTGTAAGTTTTAAATTCTTTGTTCCTATTTATTTATCTGTTTTTATCAATCAGATTTACAAAGGGGATCTTAGTAGACACATCATGGTAGCACAATATGATTATATATGTTCCAAAAATATTACAATTGTGGCAAAGCAAGGGGTGTACAGAAAGGAAAAAAGGGGAAGGGGAAACAGGCTAAACAACAAATACAGTGCCTCTGGTATATCCATAATATCTAAAAATATAAATGCTTGGTATAGGTGAGCACACAGATAATGTAGATCATCATGTAAATATCAACAGCACAGTTGTCAACAAAAGTATGCTGGTTCTGCCTTTTAACAAATCAAATAACTGTTTGCTCATGAACCATTTCCATTGGTTTTACAAACTAAATACACTCTTAAGAGAAATCAAATGAGCTAATGTACTAATAAAATTCAGTACAATGTAATAGTGGCTTAAGTGACTATGAATGATTGTGTATACAATAATCAGTCACAACATTGAAACCACTGACAGGTGAAGTGAATAACATTGATTATATTGTTACAATGACACCTGTTAAGGGGTGAGATATATTGGGCAGCAAGTGAACAGCCAGTCCTTGAATGTCATGTGTTTGAAGCAGGAAAAGCAAAAAGTGACTTTGACAATGACTTTGACAAGGGCCAAATAGTGATGGCTTAACAACTGAATCAGAGCATAGTGATGATGGCTTGACAACTGAATCAGAGCATCACTAAAACGGTAAGTCTTGAAAGCATTCTTGATTCCTAGTGTGCAGTGGTTAACACCTTCCAAATGTGGTGCAAGGAAGGACAACCAGTAACCAGGTCAAGGCTCATTGATCTATGTGGGGAGTGAAGGCTAACCTGTCAGTCGGATCACACATGTCCGACTAGCTCAAATTGCTGAAAAACTAGCCATGATAGAAAAGTAAAAATGCAGTGAGAGCACACAACACTTCTCAAAATTACCACAGGCTGTAAATATTGGTAGACCTGAAATATAAAAATAAAAGAGAAGACCATAGGGTTACATAGTTATAATACCAATAATACAAAGGTACCAAAGTGTTCCCACTCATATAGTGCTGAGCCACTTAGATAGTGTCAGGATTACTGTTTGATCCAGCACATAGAACTGTATAGCACGGGTGACAAATAAGTAACGTATTACCGGTCCTTAGAATGGCCGGATTTAACGTACATAGAATAGTCAAAAATACTAGCCGAGGTCAGGGAACACAGAAAGGGACGCAGCTATGAGGAAAGCCAGGAGTCAGGATACCAGAATATAGAGAAGTCAATAAACAAAGCCAAAGTCAAAGTCAAAAACCAGGTAGAAAACTAATAACAGGAACGCGCTCTTGGACAACCACAAGGGAAACCACAACAGGGCACTGAACAGGATGAGAACTGGGCCTAAATACCCCTCCTTTAGTTCTGATAGGTTGTAACCGGCCTTTGACCCCAAAGTCAGTTACCAGGTTTCATTTGCATAATTGCTGCTCAGCATTAACCCTTCTGTGGATTAGTTTGCTGCTCGGCACAACTTTTCCTGTGTGGACAGTAAATGTCATTAACCACATTTCTATAAGCGGATGAATACGTGACATTACCCCCCACCTGAAGAACGCCCACCGGGCGGGCAGGACCAGGTTTGAGAGGAAATTTGTCGTGAAAAGTGCGTATCTTACGGCCCGCATGCAGGTCAGGAGCCGAAACCCAAGAACGATCAGCAGGACCGTAACCTTTCCAAACAACCAAGTACTGTAAAGTGCCCAGAGAAAACCTAGAATCCACGATAGAAGATACTTCATACTCCACCTGACCACCCACCACCACCGGTGGGGGGAGGAACACAAGGAACAGTATATCTATTGCAGACAAGATGTTTGAGTAAGGACACATGAAAAGTGTTGGGAATCCCTAAAGATGCAGGAAGAGCCAGAGAGTAAGACACTGGATTGATCCTACGAAGCACTCTATAGGGACCAAGGAATCTGGGGGCAAACTTCATGCTAGGGACCTTAAGCTTGATGTTGCGAGATGACAACCAAACCCGGTCCCCCACTTGGTACACCGGGTTGGCACTCCTATGCTTATCAGCAAAATGTTTGAAGCGTTTAGCAGCAGCCCCAATAGCAGTTTGAACCTTAACCCCGGTATCCCAAATGGAGGCCAGACGCTCATCCAGAGCAGGAATGGCAGTATCAGAAAATACTGCAGGGAGAACCGTAGGATGCCTACCATTATTGACAAAAAATGGACTGTGCCCAGAGGAGTCATGAACAGCATTGTTTCTAGTGAACTCGGCCCACAGGAGTAGTTGGGACCAATTGTCCTGTGTGCTATTAATAAAACAATGCAAATAAACTTCTAATGACTGGTTAGCCCTATGGTCTGTGGATGGTAGGAGGAGGAGAAGGAGAGATCAATCCCCAATTGTTTACTGAACGCCCTCCAGATCCTGGACACAAACTGAGAGCCCCTATCAGACACAATATGGTGAGGGATGCCATGCAAATGGACAATTCCACGTATCAAAATTAGGACCAATTCTTGCGAAGATGGCAACTTCTTGAGAGGAATGAAGTGAGCCATCTTAGAAAATCGGTTTACAACCATAAGAATAGTAGTGAACCCAGCAAAGCTAGGAAGCTCAACAATAAAGTCCATGGATAAGTGGGACCATGGAATCTCAGAAACAGGAAGAGGCTGCAACAGGCCACAAGGAAGTGCATGAGTCACCTTAGAAACTGCACACACAGGACATGCCTGCACATACCTCTTTACATCTTTCCTGAGAGAATCCCACCAAAATGATCTAGTGATCGCGGCAGTGGACTTATTGATTCCCGGGTGTCCAGCAGTTATATTTTCATGGAACACTTTCATGATATTAACCCTTTCACATAGGGGAACGAACAGTTTATCACACGGTTTACCACTGGGCGTTTGAGGCTGGGCCTCCAGTATGGTGCCAAGCAGTGGAGAAGACAGTGAGAGGACAGTAGTAGCAATAATACACTCTGGTGGAATAATAGGAGATGTCACCTGTTCCGGAGCTGACTCATTATCAAATTGCCTGGACAAGGCATCAGCCTTGGTAGTTTTAGAACCAGGTCTATAAGTAAAGAGGAAGTTAAAACGTGAAAGGAAAAGTGACCATCTAGCCTGTCTGGAAGACAAACGTTTGGCATCCCCCATATATGCCAGGTTTTTGTGGTCAGTTATGATCAGCAGGGGGTCCTTGGAACCCTCCAAAAGATGTCGCCACTCCTTGAGGGCAAGAATAATGGCCAACAGTTCTCTATTGCCAATATCGTAGTTGCGCTCAGCAGGAGACATCTGTGACGAAGGGCCCTTCGCCACTTGGTCCTGGAGAGGCCTGCTTGCCAGCCTCCTCCCCTGTGTCTATGACTCTTTGATGTATTTGGCTTTAAAGCCCCTATTCTACCTTCAGACAGACTATTTATGTAGGTTGCTTTATTTCTCTTATGTTTTAGTCACCCTGTACCCATTATAGGTGCAGGGTGTGTGTAATGTAATTGTTTATAGTGTGTGTGTGTACTGTGAAATGTATTGCCTGCTCTCCTGTACTGGTGAGGTTTGCTACCAACTAGGTGGATTTGGCTATGGAGCTTGTCTAGTGCCCTCTGTTGGTAGCAACAGCAATATGCACTACCTGAATAGCAAGACCGGTTCATTTGCATATTCGGGTAGATTTGCATATTTCTAATTTTGCAGGCACATGAGATATTTTATGTTAAATATTGTCTCCCCCACCCCTTTAAAATATGCCATTGTGTTATAATAAGTCACTGTATGTTGCCTGCTATGATTTGGCTGTTTGTAATTTTATTGAGTTTGCAGGGTGTGTAATGTAATTGTTTATAGTGTGTGTGTGTGTACTGTGAAATGTATTGTCTGCTCTCCTGTACTGCTGAGGTATGCTACCAACTAGATGGATTTGGCTATAGAGCTTGTCTAGTGCCCTCTGTTGGTAGCAACAGCAATATGCACTACCTGAATAGCAAGACTGGTTCATTTGCATATTCAGGTAGATTTGCATATTGCTAATTCTGCAGGCACCTGAGATATTTTATGTTAAATATTTCTCCCCCACCCCTTTAAAAATATGCCATTGTGTTATAATAAGTCACTGTATGTTGCCTGCTATGATTTGGCTGTTTGTAATTTTATTGAGTTTTCACAGCATTGTTAATGTAATGACCATATGGGCTAGTCCCAAGTAAAATAAAGGTTTAGACAGTTCTTCTTGATCTCTCTAAATGTTGCCTTGTCTCGTTATTGTAGGGAGCTGTTATAATCACACTGAGGATTGCTATGCTCTGCATACTCTCCTGAACTTGAATCACTTAGCTCTTTTAAGAGCTTGCTCCTGACATGCTCTCCTTGGAGGAGAGGTCTTCCCCCACACAGTCCTGGATACTGGAGGTTCATACAGGGTGGAAAGAAGAGGTCTTTCCCACACGGTCCTGGAGGACAGAAGCTGATCCAGGGTGGAAGGAAGCCGGCGAGACTCCAGTCAAGCTACAGCGGAGTCTGCGGTGGTGGTTGTGGTGTCCGGTGCGGTGCTCGTGGTCCTCGGCACAAGCTAGGAAGCGTCCATCAATGGAGGGTACTCGGTTGGAGTATGGGGAGCTCCGTTACAACATCTTTCTGGAGAAGTAGCCACAAGGATGCAATGGTGTTCCCTGGCTTTCTCCCTGAGAGAGAACAGCCCCTACCCCTGTCTCGGATGCATCAACCTCCAATATAAAAGTGTAACCATGGGTAGTTCCCTTATTTACCACTATGTCTTAAAGCATAGTGTCACGAACGCACCCTACTCCAAGAGTGCGCGTGACGTAGTTGTGGTTGTGAAAGGGTTAAAGTTCACTATTTGTCTGCACTAGACCGGAAATAATGACAAAATCCCCCTTTAACACCACCCACACTTCAACCTAATAATATAACTATTACTATTTTAACGCTGCCACCACCAAGACAATTTATAAATGGGGTGCCTTGGTCCCCCAGGTAAATCAATAATAAAACCCACCAAATATTACTTAGCACAATATTTAAGGAATTATAAAAATACTAACTAGTCTCTTCAGGTAACGTGATTCTTAACCAGACAAAGGCAAAACTTAATAAATTAATGTTTATTATGAGCAAAAGATAGTCACAGTGCATATAAAAATATATGATAAACAAATTATTTACACCAACAACAGATAAAAACAAAAA